CGCCGAAGCCGCATGGCCCGGGCGGCGCTGCGGCAGGGATTGACGCCGACTGCGGCGGCAGCGGCGGTGCCGACCCGAGCAGTGCCGCTGGAAGAGTGGGGGTGCGCAGGTGGCGCAACGGCGACGCTGCAGGCCCTAGTGGCGGAGGTGGCGAGCGCGGCTCGACGGACCACTCTACTGGCGGTGCTGCCGCCACAGTGGCGGCGGCGGTGGCGGCGGCTGCGGCAGCCGCTGCTGCTGCCGCAGCGGAGGTGACGGCAGCGCGCGTCGCCACTGACGTACCGGCCGCGGCGGGCGTTACGGCGTCAACCGCCCCGGTGCCGAGTGGCGGCGTGCAGGAGTTGGAGAGAGTGCCCCCGGATGCCCCCCCGGAGGAGCGAGAAGGCCGTCCGGCGGTCCTCCACCGACACCAGGCGCGACCACAACCCCAAGCAACGCATTCAAACGGTGGCGGAAGAGGAGGCGGCGGCGGCGGGATGGTGGAGGAACAACCGGAGCAGTCCGGCGCGGCGGAGGCGCAGTCGCCACCGCCGCCGCCGCCGCAGCAGCAGCCGCCGAGCTCGCACCCCTATCACCCGCAGCCGCATCAGCACGCGCATCCCAACCACCACCACCACCACCAGCAGCAGATGCAGGCCTTTAAAATCCTCCAGGAGGCGCAGCAGGTCGTACAGGCCCAAATCAAGGCGGTGCTGTCGCCGCTAGTGTCCGGCGGCGGCGCCGTCGGCCCGCCGGCTCGGCCGCTGCTGCCTGTGAGTAAAGGGGGGAGTTGTGTGGGTGGGAAGGCGGCTGCGGGCTGCGGGCCGGCGCAGCAAAAGGACTATGAGTGGACGTAGGGCCCGAGTGGCGCGTAGGGCCTCTTGGATGCGCCACCCTGTTGCGGCGGAAACACACGTCTCCACATGTTTATCTCCCCCCCCCCCACACACACATAGTCAGTCACACATACAGACACACACACAGATATATCTACAGATACACACGGTCGGGACTTCACTGTCCTTACATGAATGATGCAACCCGTGTGCGCAGAGCTGGTTCGACTCCCACTTCGACTTGTGGAGCACTTCCAACCAAGTAGTTAATCATCATGTTTCCGTTGCGCACTAAAAAGTGAACTAATGGTATTTATTGCCCCGGTCAAACCCCGCTGCGCCGTGCTGCGCCGTGCTGCGCCGTGCTGTGCTGTGCAGGTAGGGCCCCTGCTGACCGCCAACCCCCTGCTGGCGGCAGCAACTCCGCTACTTTCCGCGAACCCGCTGCTGTCGGCGCTGGCTAGCGGGACCGCCGCGCAGCAGTTCACAGCTACAGCCGGACAAGGTTCAGCCGGCGGCGCCGCCCTCGGGGGGCCACTGTTCAGCACGTCCAGCGGCGGCGGCGGCGGCGGCATTGGCGGAGCCCCCGGCGGTAACCCCAGTCGCGGACTGAGTGCCGTACACCCGGGGGCCGCCGCCGCTGGGGGGGCTTTACCGGGACACGCCATCGGGGCTGTGCCGCTTGCGGCAGCTATGACCACACCGCGACGTGATGTGGTTGCGGTTGCCACGGCGGTGCCAGAGGCTGTGGGCAAGTTGGAACCGGTCAGCGGTAATACCGCCGCCGCCGCCGGTGTTGTGGGGACTGACGAGGCCCTCCTCCCTGACCCGGTGCTGCTCTCCTCCATCGCCCGAAACGTGTCTCTCAAGCTGGCGGAGGCGGACCTTCTGTTGGGTCGCACCAGCGCGGCGGACACGGAGCGAGTTCGCGGCTACCTGGCACTCATCTCCGAGTGTCTGCACCTGCTGCCCGTCATCCGGCGGCATTCGGGGCTTCAGGTGGTTGCGGCGGTGGCGCAGGGGCAGGGCCAGGCGGCGCAGGTGCCTCCGCCTCCGCCGACACTGCAAGGAGAGGCTTCTGGTGGGGTTGGCGGCGTGCTGGAGACCGTAGTGGAGCGGCGGCGCAAGGACCCGCAGCAGCAGCAACAACAACAACAGCAACAGGAGGAGGGGGAGGGGGAGGAGGTACAAGCGGAGCTGCCTCCTCCTCCCCCTCCCCTTCCAGGGCTTAGGGTGTTGCAGGTACCCGACCCCGGGGACGACAGCGTTGGGGGTCCCGGAGAGAGAGGGGAGGAGGCGCCGTCACCGCAGGGTAGCACCCAGCAGCAGCAGCAACCGTTGTTGTTGCTTCCCGTTTCAGAGCAGCCGACGCGGCTACAGCCCCTGGGTCACCACCTGGGGGTTGTTCCACCGGGGCCGACGGGTGGGGGACCCGGGGACGTGGCGGTACAGCTTCAAGGACAGCCAGAGCACCCGCTGTTGCTGCTCCAGCCGTACGGATCTGGGGTGGCTGCACAGTCGGGAACGGTGGACGAAGAAGACTCGCCACGCCCACCACTCCTGCCACCACAGCAGCAGCAGCGGCAGCAGCAGCAGCAGCAGCACAGCCTCTTGCAGGTCTCCCGCGAGCGCAGTGGCGGGGCGGCGCAGTTAGACGAGGAACAGCGGCAACAGCAGCAGCAGCTGCAAATTGTGGCGTCGCCATCCGGTTAGCCGCGGTCCTGGGTGGCTCGATCAGGCAGCAGCAGCACCGAGCAATCCACCCAATCCTCATACAAAGTCCTCAAAAGGGAATCGGCTGTCGTCACTGGCTGCTAGAACACTGGTGGCAGCAGCTCCTGCAGCATCAGATCTGTTGATCAGCGGCAGCGGGGGCCTCTTTGCACGGGCGGATGAGACACACAGACAGATAGTGGACATGAGAGTTTGAAGCTTGGGCATCGGCAAGAGCACGTGCGCGCTGAGTACCTTGCTTAATGGCCGAGCAACTTGTCGCGGTCGGGCATCACAAGAAGCTGGTTTGGGTTGGGATGGGTTGTGTTGTGCATAAGTGTTGCAGATTGGGTTGGGAGATCTGGTTCAAGTTGCGCCCCCAAGGTGGTGGAGGGAGAGGGAGAGTAGGGGGGTCGTGGCAATCTGCAACATGTCGCGGGGGCCCCTGCCTGACCGGACAGCTCTCCTACGGCAACCCTGGGGGGGGGGGGAAAGGACGTGCGAAGCGGAATTCATCAGAGGGCTTGTGTCTTTGTAGGGAGAGAGAGTGTGTCTTTGTGTAGCGAGTGGTTACAGTGGTGCGGGGGGCATCGGGGGGGTCACGGCCGTAGGGCTATCTATGTAGGGAATAAATACAGTGAAGAATGCGTTGTCAACGTGTTGGTGGGGGGAAATCATTACATCTAGAGTGGGGAAGGCCAGTGCGCACCCATTATATGTGCAAATTCATACCGTCAACGATGTATAGCATTACGTCGCATTACGGAAGGCCTCCACTCTCTGCGCGGGCCTGTAGGTACCAATGACCTCCCAAAGCGTGCGAATCAGTGTTCGTGGAGATTTCACTGTGCAGTGCATCCCATCAACATGTTGCTGTGTTTTCTTTCGGCTGTGATGTTGTTGATGGACTTGTTGCTTTTGAGCCGTTCCCATGGACGCGTGGTTGGTGCCGCCGCGGTGCTGCGGCTGTTGACGCATGTGACGCTCGTTCCATGAAAGTGTGTTGGCGATGTGTGTGTGTGGTGTGTGTGTGTGTGTGTGTGCCATGCATGCAACGCGACGTGATGCGTGCGAGGTTAGGCGCGGCGAGACTTGGCTGCTGTTGGCGCGCGAAAGTGCCCCGTGCGCAATATTGCCCCAAACACTAGGCGCGTCCTTGAAGCACCTGTGTGACTGTATGTATGTGCGCACATCACCCCTCTTGTCGCGTCAAATGGGGGCGCCTTCGTATCCGGGCGCTGCTGCCTTTCTGAAAAGGAAGTTTTATGCTGTGGCGGCTTTTTTCCTGCCTTTGACTGTATCCTTTGATTGCATCCTCGGCCGCACTGGCTTCGTACTGTGTGTCAGTATGGTGGAGTCAAATACTCTCGCTCGCTCTGACCTTTCTCCCCGATGCGAGGCTCTCGAACCCCTCAGGCGCGTCCACCTCTCCCCAGAGGTGCAGGCTCGCAGGGCTCATCTTGAACCGCCTTGAACCTGTGCTTTCGAGGTGGGCCCTTGGAGTCCTTGCAGCGTCAGGAAGGGACGAAGGAGGAGGGAGGAGGAGGAAGAGGAGGGGTGTCTACCAGCGGCGTGCGAATATGATCCTAGTTCGTTGGTCCAAAGTTTGAACGCTGGCAGTCCAGAACACCGTGACAACAAAACTGAAACGAGCACCAATGTTTTGACGTTGATGAAATTAATGAACGAATATGGATCTGTCCTCATCTCCTGTGCTTTCTATTTGACGGCCTTCGCGGTCCTCCTCCGCCTCCTTCGCTGCTCTGCACTGCGCTGCCGGACTCACGGAGAGTCCTCTGCAGTCAGAATCTCTGCGCACTGACCCTCCGTACGGGGGGGAGCTGTAGGTATGCGCGGGGCATGTCTGGGCGGTGGGAATGCCGTACTGGCTGTTTACTGTTTCATTTTTCGTCCTTTTTTGGGTGCTGCGGTGGTTTGTGTTTTATAGTGTTTGGTAAACCAAGCGGGGGACGGGAGGGGTGCCTTTGGATTTGGGGATTGGGGCTTTTTGGGGATTGGGGCTGTATTGGAGGTTAGGTTCCCGTTTCCGTGCGCCTGGGGCCTCTTGGGGACATCTTGGGTAGGCATTTCAATGTCCATTTCCCCTTAGAAGCTTCATCCACCCGTTGGTGGCAGTTACTGCAGTTGCAGGACCTTTGCCGCAACCGATTTCTCTTTTTTTGGAACACCCGGTCGCTCTGTCCGGGTGTATAGCCATATAGCTATTGAGGAGGGGCGATGTCTGGTCCGATGCAGTCCGATATCAGATCTGCAGATCTGGTCCGATATACATTGAGAGCCGTAACACGTGTCGCCGTCAGACACTGCCATCTGACTTATTATACTTTGCTTGCTGCTGAGTAACTAGCTCAGGGCGCTCACGCTACAGTCTTCTACGTAGCCGTCGGTGCGCCGTCAGAGCGCATAGGAGCATAGAGAAAAAACGTCGCGGCTGTCGGTGGTTGCGGCTTTTTCACATTACGAGGTAGGGCCGTGGTTGCACTGTCCCATCCCCATGGTGGTGGATGAGCCCCCGGAAGTGAAGTCGATTGCCTTGCAGTTGCATTTGTTTCACCTTCGTGTTCCCAAGAACGACGAAACGCCCGCTACGGACTGCGCAATACTCCTTCATTCAGACATGTCAACCTAGTACTGCAACGACCATGAAAAGCCACAAATGTCATGGCTCCGAAACCCCAAAAAGACGCGTTGACATAATTAAACTTGAAGTCCAACAGAAGGGAGTACCTTTGTGGTTTAACAGGTTAACCGCCGCATCCACAAGGTTCTACATCATATTCGCAAAACTTCGACAAAATGCTAAAGTTTATATAAGTGCCCTGCGACCCTATCTGACTTGAGCCGTGTACACCAAGCGATACACGGTCAAGCTTCGTGGCCACTTCACTGGCGTCATCATGTACGGCAACTCAGCCGGCGACCTCGCAGCAGCAGCAGCAGCTGCATGGAGGGGAGCTCCCGGGCGCCTTTGATGTCGAGTGCAGTTGCTGGTGCGCTCCCTCCTCCTCCTCATCTACACGAGGACACCTACACGCCGCCCTTGCTCTGTGCCTGCTGGTAGCCCTCCCTGAAGCGCTCCTTAAGCTGTGGAATCACGGACAACATGCACCACATGGCGGCAGGAGGTTTGGACCGCAACTAAAGCGCCTTAGCCTAGATAAGCTAACCTTAGGGATACCTCCTCAAGATTGCTGCTCTGGCGCGCCAGGAGGCAAGGGTCGTCAAACAGCCATCCCCATCCTACCCCATGCCACTACTATACATTGAGGATCATCTTCAGGGTCATCTCGCACACCTTTAGGCCCCTTAGCTCAGCTGGTTAGAGCGTGGTGCTAATATATAAACTATACTAGGCACGCCAAGGTCATCGGTTCGATCCCGATAGGGACCAACGCAATGATTAAAAACTGTGGTTTGGCGAACCCTTTTAATGAATGGAGGTTATGGCATAAGTCGGGAGACTTCGTTGGCTGATCTGTCTCTACGGATGTCGGGTGACTGGATGAGGCGGGGTCTAGGTAGCACAAAAAAACCACCGTCGGTTGTACGGTGGAATCAACTTTCAATATATGTCGTCCATGGCCTCCCGTCTTTGACGGAAACTCCCGCACTCGTGCGGAACTTGTAGCTTTTTAACGTGTCAGTGCCCCTCTCCCAATCCCACCCACAGGACCCAGGAGCTCGCGTCCTTCCCCGACCTGACACCGGCCCCTCTAAGCCCTCTTGACACCTAACATGCCCGCGGCCCCCCGCCACACCGCTACCGGGCATCACATCCCCTCACCAGCTCGTTCTCCTCCGCAATGCGGGCCTTCGCCGCCCGCAGCGTCTCCTCCAGGGACCCCTCGTCACCGCCCCCCGCGTTACCCCTCGGCCGCTCCCAGGTCGCAGTATCAGTCCCCCTCGGCAGCTCCCCCTCCTCACTCGGTGCCACCGCGCGGTCGTGAGCCTCGCGGTAACCCTCCTGGAACCTGTCCTTCAGCTGCAGTCAGTCGTACAATGCCGTACATAAGTGTTCACGGCATACGAACGTGCGTACCGCGCAGGTATATATGGGGCGCATTGCTTTAGGGACGGATTAATTATTGGACATGGCGCATCATTAGGAGCGGGCCGGACAGTCGCAGTGAGCCACAATCGCACCCGTCGTGGTCCCCGGTCCGTCACTAGCTGTGCAGATGTACTGGTGGCCTCCCCGCAGCAGCAGACAGCGTGTCCGGGTATCAGCCTTTCTAATTGCTCAGCATTTTAGCTCACGAGTACTCAATAGTCAGCTAATCTTATCTCTTTCCCTCCACAGGTCTCGATGCCTAAACACGTCTGAGCTTGTAGCTGCCAATGGGTTATGGGCAGTAGAAACAAGTGATAACGGTTGGTGGTTGACAGCGGTTAAAGGCGGTAGTTAGGAGTTGGCAACCGCCGCCACCTCCAGACCTCCTCACCTGCTGGGCCTCCTGCGAAATGCGCTCCTGCGTGCCCCGGATGACGTCACCCAGACCGCCGCCGCCGCCGCCGCTGTCGCCCCCGTGCCCACCCCCTCCCTCGCCCTGGAGGCGGACCTCCCCCTCCCCCTCCCCTTCCCGGCGACTAATATCCGGGGCAGTGGCGTTCAGACCCTCGGGCCCATACAGACTGTCACCACTACCGTCCGCAGCAGCGGCGACGGCGTTGTCCCCGCCGCCACCCGCCGCCGCTGCATGCGACTCCAATTCGCCCCGCTCGCTTGGAGCCTCCCTGGCCGCATGTTCGTGCTCTTCGCGCTGCTCCTGGCGGATTTTTGTGGTGTTCATGGTGCCACATTCGTGCATTTTGGGGGCATGTCTGTATGTCTGTATGTTTGTATTGGGAGTTGAAAAAGAAAGCGCTGTGAACGAATGAACGGAAGAAATGAACGTGAACGCTGCTCCCAGAGGGAGAGGGAACGCAGGTGTGACATATCGGTGTCCACGGCAGGAGATAACCGATGCTGTGACCAACACGGAATGGGAGGGTTGGGGAGCCTCGATGCTACTACGACTGTTTTCCTTCTTGGAGTGCAATATTTGGAGCGGAAGACCGCAAGAAGCCATGGGGGGAAAGGAGCCTGTTGACTGGTTGCTTAGTAGGCCTCTCCCCGAAGGAGCGGTGATAACGGCACTAAGGGAGCGTTTGATGAGCGGCTGGGACCATGCGCGTCTGACTGTTTTGCCAAACGAGTACCCATCCGATGGGAAGCAACCGGGAGTGCAAATGGCGAAGTATAAGCGCTGGATGGGGCTGCGCTTTTCGGGAGCCGCAGCCGTCATGTGGCCAACACATGCTAAGGTTTTCATTCCTCGTAAGCTACGTTTATGTTGCAAGGCTTTGGAGGCAAACAGAGCACGAAGGGGCAAGGGAGCACGAGGGAGCAGCGGATATGCCGCTGTTGTGGCACCAATAGCCAAGTCGAGGATGACAACACGTGTTATTCATTTTCGCGGAGAAAAAGGATTCAATCATCAACACAGCATGTTGGAGCCAGGATGTTTGGAATGTATGTGGGCTCACCGCAACTCAGTTGTGCCCTTTGGGCGCTAGTTTTCTCTTCTCCTGGTAGTGCGGTATTCCTTTTTGTATTCCTTTTTGGCGTTCAGGTCTCTTGCGCTTGGGCCTTGGGCTCGTATGGTTAGTCCTACAAGTATGGCCCAACCATGACGTAACGCACACGCATGGATATCTATGTGGCGGAAAAAGCGCATGGACAAGACTAGCCATCGCCATCGTCTAAGGCGCACTTAATTATGCAGGGAAGTAGCGCAGGTCCTAAGCAGTTTAAAACTGAACGATTGCGAGCGCGTCTTTTTGGTGGAATTGGCGGGCTTCCTGGTGGTGTCAGGTCCGTTCCGAGCGCTGCTTGTCGCGCTCCATTTGATACAGGATTTCGTCCCGCTCCAAGCGGTCTTAGCAATAAAGGTCGTAATGCTTGCTAAGAACGACCCCCGGGTCAAAAAGCTTCCAGCAGCGGTGATACATATGTCTTGCTTGCACTGTCGCATCAAAGCCCCTGGCCACGGCGCCCAGGCCACCGCGGCGAAATAGGGTAGGATTTCGAGTTCGAGAGGCACACGGCCATTAGATGTGGTACGCGCTGTTGAGTGCACTGTTGAGTGACATGCGCCGCACACATGAGTATGGCATTTTCTTTTGTCCTTTTGAAGTCCTTGCGCAGCGCCCCCCTCTTCGTTTATCTGTTTCATTTTAACGGACCCGCCACCTACCTTACGGTGCTGCAAGCCCTCAGCCTCCGTCTTGAGATAATCTGCCACCTCTCCCAGGACGCCCGCTGCAGCGTTTAAAATATTCGACATGGCCGTTCTCTACTCTTCTTTACTTCCTCCCTACTGTACTTGCAATGTTGGCGCTCTCCAGGTTTTATTAACGTGTAAAGAAGATGCAGTTTTGATTGCCAATGTGGTTTCTTGACCCTACAACCGCCCCGGTGCTTTTGTGCGCCGGAAAACGAAGTCGGTGTCGGGAAACGTCCAAGGTCTCGTAAGTTCGTACGTATTACGATATGGATAGCCAGCGCCTCGCTTGGCGCGCATAACGGCGCCAGAGCTCTGCGCACAGGCGCACAGGCTGGGCTATATGCAAGACAGTGACTTGGCCATCGCGCCCGCAGATGGTTGTTGTATCGTTGTCGCGAGGGCGAGGTCGGCGTTGTCCCCAGCCACGGAGCGAAGGGACGCACCGATGTCACCGAGCCACCGTCGGTCGGCACCGGTCGGCAATATACAGAGCTACCGGAGAGGCCACCGAGCTATGGATTGATCAGGTTGGCGGTTGGTGATCACTGCGGTTCCTGTGCACAGTCGTGATGAGTAAAGAAGGCGGCGGTTCGCGTTGCAGCTGCATACAGAATCAGATAGGATGCAAAAACGCCTAAAGGGAACGGCCGGAACAGCAAAAGTGTGAATGTCCGATTGTGATAGTCAACATCAAATGTATCTCTTTGACCCAGTGGTCGGTTTTCAGCTCCAAGCAATTGTCAACGGTTGACAGAACCGATTTCAACAGGCACGGAATGCTGTCATCATCATCACGGCATTTCAACGCACTAATCGACATACATCAGGTACGTAGTTGTCAGTCCTTCCTTGGCCTGCTGGGCCCACCTGTTCCAGCATGTGCTAGCAGCCGCTATCGTACAGTATGCCATATACCACCACAACATGTAAATGCATTAAAGCGTGAAATTGTCCGGGGGGGCTGTCTGAGAGCGAGACTTTTCAACCCCCACCTCCTACCTACCACCAATTGGGGTGGAGTGAGGTGACCTCCTCGCTCACGCGATCATGACAAGATTGGGTGTCGGCTTCAAGGAAGCCGGAAAAAGGGCGGGGCCCCTCTGCATCCGTACAGGCCGGTAGCAAGGGTGGCAAGTGTGACAATTGATGGGTCATGTCAACATGGTGGGAGGTAGTGTTTGTGTAACGAATGGTGTCTTGAAGCACCAGCGGCTACAGGAAATCGACATCCGGGTGCATGCCACATCGACATCCGGGTGCATGCCGCATGGACAGTACGGCAGACCGCAAACGGAGCCGTTGCTTAACATATGAAGTTCGGTGCTGTCTGTGATGTTTAGGTCTTGAAGCACCAGCGGCTACAGGAAAGCACCCCACTGCCGCATGGCTTTGTAATAATTAAACAGATAAGTAAGAGCGGCAGAGTGCAACTCTTCGGAGGCCCCGTGCATTGGCCAAAGTAAATGTACAAACAAGCAGCTTGTTTATTTCATAGAGAAATGAAAGCAAATTATGTTGGCCTGCTGGTGGCAAGTCGGATTGCCCATGCCGGCAAATGGTAACACAAGCTGGGTGTTCGAGTTATCATACGCCGTCATCTCAGAATTCCATTGTGAGATACGCGGCAGCTTTCGGGATGAAATTTAGCGCGAGAGGCGTTGATGTGACTTTTGAGGTCGGTGAATGGAGGCAGCTAAACTTGTTTGTGCTCATACGGTCTTTCTTAGCTACATGCGAGATACCTTGCAATAGAGAATGCTGTATAGTACCGATAACGCGTTTCAGCCGGGTGAAATATTATGTTTGGTCCGTTACACACTCAAGGCCTGGGAGTTCGAGTTATCATACGCCGTCATCTAAGAATTCAAATATGAGATACGCGGTACCTTTTGAGATGAAATTTAGCGCGAGAGGCGTTGTTGTGACTTTGGCCTCGGTCAATTGAGGCAGCCAAACTTGTTTGCGCTCTTACAATTTTTGTTGGCTACATGCGAGATACCTTGCAATAGAGAATGCTGTATAGTACCTATAACGCGTTTCAGCCAGGCGAGATATTATGTTTGGTCCGTTACAGACACACACACACACACACACACACACGGACATGGGCAATCCTACAGGTCGGGGCCCCCCTGGGCGCTTCGCGCTGGGGCCCCGCCCAAAAACCACTGGGGGGTGCCTCGAAGTGCGGAGCAGCTGCGTGATGAGGAAGATCATGTACAGGTGAATGACCTGCTGCATGTATTAATGAACCAATATCAGTCCATTACGTTGTGTATATGTATGTAGCTGTTGCTAACGAAGGTGTCTCTGTGCCTGGAAAACTTAGCTGGACACCACGTGTGCGAGGCGGCGCATCACATGATGCATGGTGATGGATTGAGCACCCTCCCACGGCCGTAGTGGGGTGGGGTGGGAGGAGGGACGTGAGGTACAGGCGGCTGGTGGTGGCGGTGGCGGTGGCGGTGTGGGGCCGTCCTGGGGCCCAGCGGGAACCCTGGAGGGCGCAAGACGGTCCCCGGCCCCAGACGGGGAGGAGGAGAAATGTAGTAGCTGTCGTACAGTACGGCACACACCATCAATACACCCGTATGTGGTAGAGTGAGAGGCCTTTGGGGCGAGCACCTACCACAACGTACATGCAGCCACACCTTGCAGAAATGTGGTGGTGTGTTCCTTGGCAGCCAGCGGCACCAGAGGGGCCCGGGCGCCCCCCGGTTGGTTGTAGCTGCAACGGAAGCTACGACCTCCGCTCAAAGCTATTGGACTGCGTGGGCTTCATTCCGCAGCAGGGTATCGCCATAAGCCCCGACTGCTCCTACTGGCCAGGTAGGGTACGACGACTCCGAAGCGGAGAACCCGAATCTCCGCTTCGACAGGTAGTTGGAGCTTCCCTCTTGGTACACCGGCGTCCAGCAGCCACCTTCTGATTGGGTTTCCCCCCCCCAGGCACCCCAGGATCCCCAACAGCGCTACAACGGGGGCTGCAAGTAAACCGTCAAATGAATATCGAGAGGGGGAGAGAGACACGCTATCTATCTCTAGGCAGGCACTGTACGGCGTTGGGCCCATCGTGGTGATGATGATGATGGTGGTGGCGCCGCTACCCATCATAGTTGACATAGCCCGCTTACAGAGGGTCATGGATTCGATCATCAACAGAGCATGTTTGGAGGCCATGAAATGGCGAGTCAGTCCATCTGGCGAGGATGTTGGAACGTATGCGGGCTCAGGGCGGCCACTCAGGGCGCTAGTTTTCTCCATTCTCCTGGTAGTGCGGTATTCCTTTTTGTATTCCTTTTTGGTGTTCAGATCTCCTGCCCTTGGGCCTTCAGCTCGTAGGGTTAGTTCTACAAGTAAGGGGTCTCGCACCCCAACCATCTGTAACGCACGCGGGGCCGCAGGGTGCAGCAGCGGCGGCGGCGGCGGCGGCGGCGGTGGCGATGGCGGCAGCAGCGGCGGCGGCGGCGGCGGCGGCGGCGGCGGCGGTGGCGGCGGCGGCTTTCTCCAGCACCAGCACGTCGATAGGTGGCTAACGGCATCACCAAATAATGGCATTAGAGGACCGGGAGAAGCGGAAACGAAACCGGCAACTGGTAACTGCCAAACCGCCCACTGCCAACCGTCCGTGAACCTCCTATAGCCACTGATGGCCGTACAGACGTGTGAACACATCACACACATACTTCACAAACCCAAAGCCGTTGTCCACCCGAACAGACTCTAGTAAGTGTCCTAATTTACTCCATCCGGCCCCCTCTCATAAATAGACATACATACACATGGAAGGCATTGCGCCCCTAGTTGATGGAGGGTGGTGACCTGGGATAAAGTTAACCCGCGAGCCGACCAGGAATGAAGTTGGGCCGCTGTCGACCCGGCAGATTCCGTTGGATGCTGGTGGTGGGTGCGGAACCTGAGCGATCCACTGAGAAGTTGACTAGGGTGACTGGATGAGGGTGCCCCGAAATACCGGGGAAGGCAGGGTTTCGCAGGGTAGCTGCCACGGGCGAAGATACACCCCCCTTTCA